TTTTCAATCCAAAAAACACTCTTACCAAACATGCTCTAAGTGCATAAATAATAGTTGCTTACTTGCTTATAAAATTTCTTCCTTTCACCTCACATACGTCTAAACACATGAATGCCCAAAAACAAGAAATCTCATAAGTTGCCCAATTCTATTTGGTAATAATTTTCTCAAATGCACTTATTCAATTCCTTTCTCCTAAATTACAAATATAAATAAATAAATAAATAAATTTTAATCTCTACCTTTTAAAAAGTTTAAAGTTTAAGATATTTCTAATATAGTGTTTGATTTATTTTACTTATGTTTCCTCATTAATGTTAATTGTTTCATTATTTTAATTCTTAATAATAGTGTGTGGACATTTATACCTTAAGAATATATGTTTACATATTTTACCTTATTAATTTTGTTAACAATATAAGGCTAAACTGAAGAGCTCTAGGACATGGACCGCATGGCTACCTGTGACACACGCATCACACACATTAAACACCCTAATAATAATAAAGTTGGTGGTCTCACCTCTAACCTCTTTGCCACATAATCACACGCCTACTATGCTTGCATGCTGCAACATGCTCAATATGTGAAATGGTCACATGATGACTAGTATATATTCTGTAAGGTTTTGGTAGTCATTTAACCTATTACCCAGTAGTTTTAGATTCGAAAGTCACTTGATTTGGCTTGACATATGCTCAATATGTGAAATGGTCACATAATGACTTGACTAGTGTATATTTTGTAAGGTTTTGAAAGTCATTTAATCTATTACCAAGTAGTTTTATATTCGAAAACTTGGCTTGGCATTGAACCAAGGCTTTATGTAACACCACCCTATAACCTCCAAAACTTTATTAATTTTTTGACAATTATAAGAGGCACTAAGGGGTGTCACAAGGTGCCCAATCTGACCACTGTTTACAGTGTGCTTGAGTGCGATTTTGCTGAAAATCCTAACTACGGAGTAAATTTTAAACTAAGTCTGGCTTTACTTTTTGTCTGTATACCAATCATCAACTTTTAGTTTGTCATCTATATGTAACCGCACCGCCCTAACCCTAACTCCATATATAAGTATGTAAATTGTATGTTCATTTGATGTAGATTAATTAATTGTTTGTAATTTGATAATGTTTTTTTGAAAAAGAGGAATACTCATTATCGGCTACTATAAAGGTAATTCCGACACAACATGTGAATATGTGATTGATGTAAACATTCATTCAAACTCTATAACGAAATTAGGCCTTCTAGATTGTATATACCCATCTGTCTCTAATGAGAAAATACAAGTTTTTCAACATGAGATACATATTATGTATCTCAAAGGGGTATATTTGTCATTTTAGCTAGTAAAATGGGGTTAAATTTGTATAGAATACCATTATATTCAAAGCAAAATCAGAACAACATCAATGCAGGAACAAAGAGCTTCAATGATGAGATAGAACTCGACAATCGGCTTCAATGGAGGAAAACAACATTCATACCCTTTGTTTGACGGTAAAACTGTCAGAATTATGACGGTGAACGTCGGTGGTTTACAAGATAAAGCAAGATTATTTGAAGAGGGAGAATGAGGAGGAAGAAAGAGATGAAAATGGAGCAGATTGTTTGTTGAAGAAGAAGACCCAACCCATAAATTTAGTATGTTATAACGGAAGTGTGCAATGGAACGATTTGGAAACTCACCCTCAAACACAAAAAAAATAATTAGTAAAACGCGATAATAAAAAAGACAATGTTTATGAGAAAATTTAGATTTCCTCCTCTCAAACAAAATATTGTATTATTAAGTTCCTACAAAATAAGACAATAACACTCTTGATGATTTTCCTCTTTAATATCATTGATGATTTTCCTCCTCAATAAACCATCATTGATAATTTCCAACCATCATTGAACTATCATAATTTTCAATAAGCCTAAACCCTCTTATATAGGTAGTGGCGGAGCCATAAATATACAACCGGGGGGACGACAACTAAATGTCGCATCATTTGATAAAAATGTTTAAAAAAAAAATTAAACACAAAGATAGGTTTATAGTTAAAATTTTTGAAATAAAAAATCCACAATTTATAATTAGTCTTACAATTCAAAAAAAAGATGAAAAAAATTTCATAAAGTTTAATATTAAACTACAATTGCATCCTTCGAGTCTTCATATTTTGAAAATGATCATTGATTTTTTCATTGGGAACTTGTAATAATACTTCCTTCTCAATAAAAGTGACCAAACAATCATTCATAAGTTGATCACCCATGCTATTTCACAACTTACTTTTGACATATGTCATTGCGGAGAATACACTTTCAACACTTGCCGTAGCAACGGGAAGAATCAACAACAACTTGATAAGCAAATATACAAGAGGATATATCTTATCCTTCTTGGTATTAACAAGCATCATGGAAAGAGATTTATGATTATGCAAATCTTGAAATCTTTCATCTTTGTGCATATTTTCCATGAATATATCAAGTTGACCTTCAAGTGTCATCAAATCAAAACTTGAAAATTTTTCGGGATAAAAAGAGGCAAGTTTGAGTACCTTTTCTTTGTCAAAAGATGAGAAGTTATCTTTAGGACTTAGGCAAGCCATACAAGTAAGTAATTCCATGCTTCTCTCATTAGATTGATTATCAAGCTCTTGAAGATGCAAATCAATTACCCCCAAAAATATTTCAACTCGAAAATGATGTAGATTTGTTTCTTTTTCGACAAAGCATCGTGATCTTCCTTGAGGAACGTAAAGAGCATCCATAGTGGGAACATGACAGGTTCTAGTCGTATCACCTAATCAAAAGTAATTCCTAAGTCCTCTAACTAAAGTAAATAGGGAAGTAGGGTTGAATCCACAGGGAAACAATGTTTTTATATTCCTAAAAAATTAATATAATCTAAATAATTAAGCAACAAATATGATTTTTATGAATTAAACTAAGGGAAATAAATAACGTTTATAAGAATAATAGGAATAACAATAAATCAAAGCCTAGGGTATAAGTTCACCAATAAATAATACTCCGGGATGAAGGACAACAATCAATTATCAATGCATCAATTAATCAAATCATAAAGGGCTTTCGCTACGTATTGCAATCATAGAATTAACTTAGCGGTATTAAATCACATCTTTCAAATCCTTACTTAACCATTTATAAATTAACCTGCCTATTGAAATTAAGCCTAAACATCAATTCTCATCTTTCGAATCTCGAATCAATATTGCATAACTCATACAATTAAACCAGGCCTAATCTAATTGCATAGCATTAAATCAATCAATAAGAAATTAATAAAAGCATTGACAATCAACAATAATAAATCACCTCTTCATATTATTTACGGATTCCCAAGAACCCTAGAAATAAACTACTCACACATGATGAAATCTAAACTAAGCAAAGCAATTAAACAAGACATAATTAATCAAGGCAATTAAATTACTAGAAATAAAAGGGGAGAAAATCGTTACCAAAATAAACGGAAATACTGAATTGCATAAACCAAAGAGTATTGAGAGAACAAAATACTAACTAAGCTTAAAATCTAAAATCTGGAATTTTAACTAATGAAAGATGTCATTATCTCGCTTAACAAAAGCGTATTTTTATTTATACTAAACAAAGAAATCCTTAGATAAAACGATGCAAAAACAACTCCTAATTAACTCGTAAAAACCTGCGCCCGACAGGGTGCCTAACCGCTCGGCCGAGCGCGCCTTAGCTTCTTGAACTTCTGTTCCTCGCCCAGCCAGGCGTGCCTCAGGGCGAGGACACTTCCTGGTCAGGTGAGTCCACCGGGCAACACTAGATTCCCCAGTTGGGCTCTTTTGCTAGGCCCAATACGAATATTTTCTTTGGGTCTTTATAACTCGGTCCATTGCCTCGGTTTCTTCTTCTTCTTCGTCGGGCACTTAATCATCAGTTTGATTATTCTAACGCGGTCTTGGGCTACAGAATATGGTCATATGAGTGCGATCCAAATCCAATGCTCGTAGTGGCTCAAATAAGTCCGGGAAATGCTCCAAATCTGCAATTGCCTACAAAATAATACCAAAACTAAGAAAACGCAGATTAGTAATTAAAATAGCTCCGTAGAGCCAATAATACTCTTAAAGATGACCAAGGGACAGGGGTAAAATATTATATAAAATGGACATATCTAAACATCAATGCCATATTTAGTGCCAAATAAAGTAACCTTGTTTAAGAGAGTCTCCCACCCTGATTCCCTCATTTTTTGAAACACACTTTTTGTAAAAGTAACTAGTTCCATGGAATTTACAATATCACGCTCCTTTCTTTGCAAAGCAATACACAAATCATTAGTGTAACTAAAAATAGTCAATATCAAGTAAGTAACCAAAAATAAAATCAATTGACTCTAATTGTTCTAAAACAATTTGAGCTTCAAACTTATCTTCCGATGCACCATGTTTCCCAATGTGAACAATTACCTTAACAATTATAGAAAATAAGCGGATGACATTTACAGGACACTTGTAATGAGATCCCCAACGAGTATCTCCGGGCCTCTTCAAACCAAGCTCTTGATTCAAACTCGATCCACTCAAAATTTCCCCCGGCCCACTTCCAATACTTGAGCAACTTCTTGAGCTTGACTATTACGAATCATTTCTCTTCTCTTGCAAGAAACTCCAACAACATCTAACAAGTTTTCAAGTATTTCAAAAAGCTAACCACAACTATCATTCCTTTTAGCAACGACAACTAGTGTTAGTTGAAGTTGATGAGCAAAACGATGTTCGTAGTAGGCTCTTGGAGTATCATTCATAATCAAAGTCTTAAGGTCATTTATTTCACCCTTCATATTACTAGCCCCATCATACCCTTGTCCTCTTATCATAGATGGACTCAATGAATATTCCACAACTAGTGACTTAATTGCATCTTTAAGAGATAAAGCGGTAGTATCACCAACATGAACAATGCCTTAAAATCTCTCCATTACCTTTCCACTATCTCTATCAACAAAGCGCAAACACAAGAGCTAGTTGCTCTTTCTGGGACACATCACTTGACTCATCGACCAATATAGCAAAGTAATCATCACCAATATCTTCAATTATGCACTTAGTTGTTTCTTTTGCATAACAATTAATAATGTCTTTTTGGATCGGGGGAGTAGTCATTTGACAATTTTCGGGTGCATTTTCAAGAGTATGATCACCTACTTCCTTAACCTTTTCTCCTAACCATTTCAATAGCTCAATGAAATTACCCCTATTATGAGACTCATCACTTTCATCATGCCCACGAAATGCCAAACCTCGCCCCAAAAGAAACCTTAAACAAGTTAAAGATGCATTCAAACGAATATAATATTCATTTTTAATAACCTTACTTGCCTTTTCAAACATATTCAAAATTGATTTATTTTTCCCATCTTTTAAATTCACATACTTCTCATAAGAAAGATTATGAGCACTCTTAATTCCACCAACATGATTCTCAAATCGTTTCGAATTATTCCATTTCCTAAACCCTCCATCAACAAATGCATCACTCCCATGTTATTTTCAACTTCACCTTTGAACAATTAACATACAAAACAAAATGCGGCATCTTTTTCAATGCTATACTCAAGCCAATCCCATTTGTTGAACCAATTCACACTAAAACGACGTAAACCTCCTACTTGTCTTTGAGGGAAGTTGTGAGTTTTTGGTTGACAAGGTTTTTTGAGAATATAAGCTCTCCTCACCGCATTTCTTTTATTTGGGGGATAATCCATTATGTTCATTCTTTTTCCCGGATCATGAGGAAGAAGTTCAACATCATATATCAATTCTTCCTTCTCTGGTGGTACATTAATAGAACTTGTACCCCCACCAATTTCTACAACATTTTCTTGAGTTTCAGGGGAGCTAAATGAAGCGGGTTCATTTCCTTGAGATTTCATTCTTTTAAACATGAATTGTCGAAAATCGGGTTGTTTTCTTTTTGTCTTGGACTTGTTTGAATTAAGTGAATTGTTTGACATGTCCTAATTTAATCAATAAGAATGAAAACAATGAATCAATAATAATTCAATTATCATCGTATATTCATATCATACAATCCAAATTACCAAACAATTTAACACAAATAACAAGTTATAAAGTGAATAATTTGACAACCCTAACTAAACATTGGAATTCAAACAATTAACCATTAAAAAAAAATTAGGATTTAAACAATTGACACTTTAAAAAAATTAGCAGTTAAACAATTAAAAAAAAAGATTTAGGGCTTAGAGGGTTAATTTAAAATTAGAAGTTACTATGAATTTTGGGAAAAATAAAAAAAAAACAAATTGATTTTTGATTTTTTGTGGTGCCTGCCTGCCTGGTGTGCCGGTGAGATGTCGGTGTTGGACTGGTGGTTATAGGTCGTCGACGTCGGGCAGCAGAGCCATGGATTGTGAGTGTGACGTCAGTCGTCAAACGTGGAATCGTGGAGTACAGTGGTGGAATTGTAAAAGGCTTATGATTTTTTAAACTTCTTTTTTTTGTCTTTTAGTAAATTTTATTGATTTATTCTTTATATTATTTGTCTTATATGTGATGTCACATTTTACTTTTTGTCTCTTTCTTTGTGGATCAGTGACAGCTTATGCCTTTGTGCGTGTTGTGCAAGTTTATTTTTATTTTTATTCTTTTTAATAATTTGAATTTTTTTTAAGTGGGGGGACAGCTGTCCCCCATTGTACCCCTCTACCTCCGCCATTGAATATAGGCTAACCTAGAAACCCACATCAATTAGGATATTTTACTTGCTCCTCAAGCCTTAATAATCCTAGATTGTTTATACATACCTAAAATCTATCTAGCTTCCTAATTACAATCCTCATTTAACTAGGAAAGCATAAAAGATAGAAATAAATAAAAGATACAATATATCTTTTTCCAAAACAAATCTCATTGTTATAATGGAAGTGTGCAATGAAACAATTTGAGAACTCACCCTCAAACACAAAATTAAATAATTAGCAAAACACGATAATAAAAGAGACAATGTTTATGGGGAAATTTAGATTTCCTCCTCTCAACAAAAATATTGTTTTATTAAGTTCCTACAAAATAAGACAATAAACCTCTTGATGATTTTCCTCTTCAATAAACTACCGTCTTTCACCCTCTTGATGATTTTCCTCCTCAATAAATCATCATTGATCTCTCTCCAACCCACCTTTCATCAAACACGTCTCGAGGAAACATATCAAAAACTCCTAAGCACGCAATAGATACAAGGTGAGTGCTTTTCCATCATTGTACATCCAATAATAATCAGGATAGAAAATTAATAAATCAGAAGAGATAACATATTATTCATTACTCATTTATGTTTTATATATTATTGTCTATGTTCTGCGCATAACAAACAAAAACCTAAAACCTAAAATTTCCTATTGTAACCTTGATTTTTTAGGTGCTTAAAATCACTAGTTAGAGTCTCCAAAACTGAACGAGATAAATCACTTCATGGATGGAAGAAGATGTTCAAGTTCAGGGGAGGCGTTCGATTGCGAGTTGATCGAGCTGGAAGCCATGTTGGGCTGAAGGGAGGTTTGTTAGGGTTACAAGCCCAACTAGAGGAAGAAGATTGTTGGTACATGTGGATGTTTGGTAAGTTGAGTTTAAGGGAAGGTTTGTTAGGAAATAAACTAAACTTACCAAATACCGATGAGATTTGATTTAAGAAAAGATATGATGTATATTTTATTTATTTCTATCTTTTATGCTTTCCTAGTTATATGAGGATTGTAATTACGAAACTAGATAGATTTTAGGTATGTATAATCAATCTAGGATTATTTAGGATTGAGGAGCAAGTAAGATATCCTAGTTGATGTGGGTTTCTAGGTTAGCCTAAATAAGAGGGTTTAGGCTTACTAGAAAATTAAGATGGTTATCAATGATGATTTATTAAGGAGGAAAATCATTAAGAGGGTGAAAGAACGATGATTTTATTGAGGAGGAAAATCATCAAGAGGGTTATTGTCTTATTTTTTAGGAACTTAATAATACAATATTTTGTTTGAGGGGAGGAAATCTAAATTTCCTCATAAACATTGTCTCTTTTATTATTGTGTTTTGCTATTGGTTTTTTTTATTTTTTATTTATTTTTATTTTTTTAGGGTGAGCTCCCAAATCACTCCATTGCAAACATCCGTTATAGAAAATTGGGAATGTTTGTTAGGAAATATACTAAACTTATCAAATACCAACAAGATTTGTTTTAAGAAAGATATGATGTATATTTTATTTATTTATATCTTTTATGCTTTTAGTTAGATGAGGAATGTAATTAGGAAACTAGATAGATTAGGTATGTATAATCAATATAGGATTATTGAGGCTTGGGGAGTAAGTAAAATATCCTAGTTGATGGGGTTTCTAGGTTAGCCTATTTAAGAGGGTTTAGGCATACTAGAAAATTAATATGGTTATAAATGATGATTTATTGAGGAGGAAAATCATCAAGAAGGTGAAAGATCAATGATTTTATTGAGGAAGAAAATCATTAAGGGGTTATTGTCTTATTTTGTAAGAACTTAATAATATAATATTTTGTTTGAGGTTGTCTCTTTTATTATTGTGTTTGCTAATTATTTTATTTTGCTTTTGAGGGTGAGTTCCCAAATCACTCCATGCCCCAACCTAGCTCTTGATATCAATTCAATTTGTTATAACGGATGTTTGCAATGGAGTGATTTGGGAACTCACCCTAAAAAACAAAACAAAATAAATAGCAAAACACAATAATAAAAGAGACAATGTTTATGAAGAAATTTAGATTTCCTCCCCTCAAACAAAATATTGTATTATTAAGTTCCTACAAAAGAAGACAATAACCCTCTTGATGATTTTCCTCCTCAATAAAACATTCGTTGATAATTTCCAACCATCATTGAACCATCATAATTTTCTAGTAAGTCTAAACCCTCTTATATAGACTAACCTAGAAACCCATATCAATTAGGATATTTTACTTGCTACTCAAGCCTAAATAATCCTAGATTTATTATACATACCTAAAATTTATCTAGTTTCCTAATTACAATCATCATCTAACTAGGAAAGCATAAAAGATAGAAATAAATAAAAGATACATCATATCTTTTTCCAAAATAATTCTCGTTGGTATTTGGTAAGTTTAGTTTATTTCCTAACATAGTACATTAAAAATAATATAATATTTATAAAGTTCATTCTATATACATACCTGCCATTTTGAGATATAAGTCTTGTATCTCATGTTGTGATATTGGGGCTCCCTCGTCTCTAATAATGTGTCTTATTTTACATTTTACGATATCTAATACGTATTTTAAAACGATTTTATCTTCATTTTCATACGCATTTATAAAAATTAGATTTTAATTAAATATACAATAAGATGAATCCATCAAGATCTCACACAATTATATTATTTTTACTTCATTCGTTTCGTAATAATCCCAACGCTAGATGTTGCACAAAGTCTCGGGAAAATTATAGGGCGAGGACCAAAAAGATAATTTTATAATATAAAGTGTAGTTAGTGAAAATATATTTAATTGTTAGTAGGAGAGAGAAATAACAAAAAAAAAAAAAAAAGTAGTGTATGAGGGGTTGATAGGAGAGAGAAATAATAAATAATAGTGAGTCCTTACCAAATAAGGAAATATTGCAATTATTATGAAACGGACGTAAATAAAAATATTGCGATTATTACGAAACGGAGGGGGTATAGATTGTTCCTAAAACTTGTTGGCGACTCTTTTAGCTCTAGCTTCCTTCCCTTTGGACACCACCATGCCTAAAAGCATGATCACAGTGGGGCTCAAATTTGAGTTTGAAAAATTCCCTACAATTTTTTGGCCACTCCACTAGGAGGATTTCTAATTTTGATTCCTAAAATTTATTTTGGCAATTGACTTTAGAATGAGTGGATGAGACTTGAAAGATTCTAGATATTCATGTGCATAATTTTTATTAACATTGTGGCATAAGCATAAAAAGGTCCGCATTGGAAAGACCCTCCAAAATGCGTAAAAAACATAGGATTTTTTACACGTAGGAAAAGCTGGAAATATCTTTCACAAGTAGAATCGAAAAGATACTGCGGGAAAATTCGTAGTACACAAAAAACTGCCGCGACGCACAGGAACTATTGCGAGACGGCAGGGTCCATCACCATGCAACAGCTTAATCGCGGCGCGATAGAGTTGTCGCTGCGCGGCAGAACTTGTTTTCTCGCGCTGAGTTCTCGCGACATGGAGCCAGGAGTCTTCCTTCTTGTTTTGACTGATTCTAGTACTGTCTCGACGATTCTACTTCTTGAATGAGTTTTTCCTTCTTTTCTGAACCCATATGTGTTCTAAATATGGTCTTAGCCCCTGGGAATTCACGCTCCATCCACCCTGACGAACGCTCCGTGCAACGATGGGTGCATCCGAGATTGTGAATTCACCAAACCATGGAAGCAAGTTTAACTTGCGGGGTCCCATCTATCCGCGCCAACCCTTCCAAAGGTAAGGCTTCCGTGCGATGCATCCGGACTCATAACCATGGACCCTCTTTGACTACCATAATCCTTGACCTTAGAGAAATAGAGCTATGGTTAGGTTGCAAACTCATTGCATCATGTTTTGACTACTTGTGCATTCCTTACTTGTACATATTTTATTTGTGATTAAACTAACCTCTTGTGTTGACTTGTTTTTCTAAATAAAGTCTTAACAAACTAATCAGTGACTAAAATGGACTTTGCTTAATCAATTGGTTCATTAATTTGAACTTATAAAGTCTAAATATACTTGACATAGTGAGACTAAAGGCTTATACCTTCGAAAGAATTACCGAAAACAAATTAAACTGACGCTCCAGTTTTGGCACGGAAGTTTGGTTTGTGCCACAGAACGCTAGCTTTATTGC